TGAAGTCTGCAGGGTGAAAAGTCCCAGCTCCCTCCATCTCATCTGAAGTGGCATCTACTGCATTCTATTCCACATTCTTGTTACCATGTGCTGAACTTATTCTAACCCTTCTTAAGTCCCATTTCCAATCTGGGGCCTAGAACGCCCCCCCCCCTCCACCAACCATACAGCATACTACAATAAAATAGTATCTTATGGTATCTAAACTATTATTTGAAATACATAAATAAATTGTATACATTTCATATATAACCATAATATTGTGTGTGTGTGTGTGTGTGTGTGTGAGTGTATTATAAAAAGAATAACAATTAACACTCTGCACCCACTCCCCAGGAGACCAAATGATACCTCCTTTTCATTTCAAATATTATAACAATTAATATATAATATACCTCAGCTATACCCATGTCCCCTCCAGAAATGCATATAATCCTGATTGGGCTTACAGCTGTTCCCTTCTATCAGTGGTGCTTTTGCAGTCTTCCCATATTCCATCATATTTATTTGCTTTTATTATCCTTTTTTAATTTTTTATTTCTGTTTTTAATTTATCATAAACTACCACATTCCATATTACATTATACCATTCATGCCTTTGCAGAACCCAATTCTGTTTCCAATATTTAACTATCACAAACCTTGCTGCCATTATCAAATTTAAAATCAATTCTTTCTTAACTTTGTTTATATCTTGTTTTTAATCAACAGCAATAACACATATCTTGGTGACAGTTCTAGATTCATATCTAGAATTTCTCTAATTCCATTAAACCCCATGATCCAGATCTTTTGTATATTATCACAATCCCACCCCATATGTTTATTAGTTCCAATCCCTTTCCCACATCTCAAACAAATATTAGACAATTTAGCAGCAATTTGGTTTGACTTGACTGGTTTAAAGTACCACCCCCATTTCACTTTATATACCTGTTCTTTAATTCTAACCGGCATATTCTTATATACTCTTCTATTTCAAATGCTTTCCCAATCCTTGTCTTTTACTTCATCTCTGTCCATTTCCCAAATTGATTTTCTACTGTTTTCTCTGGCAGCTGAACCCAGCCTCCGTGTTGCCATTTCACACCTCACTTCCCAACATAGCCTGGCTGGCTGTGGTTGCTCTGCCCCTTTATTTGTAGGAAGCTGGTGGGAGGGGGACATGTCCTTTTCTCCTTCAGGCAGAAGAATGCCTTGGGCCAGCCAGCTGGGAAAGGCAGAAAGACAGGAGGCAGTGGCAGAGTGAACAGTGGGTGTCCGAAGTAATAACTTCTCCTCAAAATGGGGTGTGAGGTTACAGCCTCTACAGGAATTTTCCTGAGTGGGGGGCAGGGATGGGGAAGCTGTTTTGGCATCAGCTGATGTCTTCCTGACGGCTGGCAGACCCCCTCACCCATTCCTTTGGCGGAGCTGCTTTTTCGTTTTGGAGGCAGTGCCTTGGGCCGAGAGACCAAGTGCTGCTTGCACAGACTGGCAGGGGTGGCTGCTTCCTGGCCAAGGCAAGTAGGTAGAAGTGCCATCATGAAACTGAACCCTGGGAAGGTCTGGACCACAATAACTGTGTGCCACTTCACCTTGCAGCTCAGGACACCTCAGCCTTCCAAGAGCACCCATGGACTGGTTTCCTTCCAGATTCACCAAAACAAGAGGGCAAAATATTCTGAATCCTGGTACTTTTCTGATACTCTCAAGCAGATTGTGTAGAAAGTGTTTCACTGTCCTTACTCTAGGCATGCCTACTCAGTGAAAGTCTGGAGGAGATGCCAGGAGGAGGAGGAGCTGGAGTCCATCATGCAAAGCAACCTTGACGAACTCCTGTTCCTGGAGAGCTGCCTCAAGTCCCCAGGACTTAGGCTGTGGCCTGGACCCTGGGTGCTGCAGCTTCATCCAGACCTAGGAGGAGGGCAGGAGAGGGTGTTGAGGAAATCCAAGTAAACCATAGAAGGAAGAAGGTCTGCTTGCATGTGCCTTTTCAACGAAAGTGTAGCGTCGCAGCTCCTTTTCCTTGAAAGACCTGGAAGCTCCCCAGCCAAGCTCCCTTTCTGAGAATTGCACCCTTGCCTAAATATTTCCAATATCAGGATCAAAGCTTCTTAGAATGAAATGGAATCTTTCTGAGGACCCTGCACAGTCATGTACAAATTGAAGGATGATTTCTGTCTCAATATGTGTCAAATTTACCAATTCTGTGTATCAGTATTGTATAGCAGTTCAAAGTAGTATTAGACTAGTTGCATTCTTTCTATATCCGTTTTTAGCTTTGCTCCCATGCTTCTAACTTCCTGATACCTGTGCAGAGAGACACGGCTCTGGGTGGCATTGAAAGGGAAACAGCAGCAACACAAACTGTTCCTTGGGAAATTCAACCCCAACCAGGTTCTCCCGAAAAGCCAGAGAATCTTGTGGGATTCAGCACAAGGTGGAGAAGGGGAGGAAAAAAGAGCCCTCTGTCTTCTGCCATGCAGTCCATGGGGGTGGAGGTCTGCCTGGTCTTGATCTCTGGGATCCTGCTGACTCCCGCAAGGCCTTCAGCTGTGCACGGGCTTGGCCTGGCCCACAGGTAAAGCTAAGCCAGGCTACGCTCTCTGAGCATTGTGTCGTTGGGCGTCCCGCACGTGACCTCTTCAGACGTGCAGTTTCATGGTGCCCCTCCCCATGTAAATGCATCCATCAGCTGTATCACAACCAGATGTGCAGGAGGTGGAATGTGGGAGGGTCTTTGATTCTCACCCAGGTCTAAGAACAGAGCTTCCCCTACCTAACTTTCAGCTCAGACCAATCCACTCATCAGAACAAACCTGGGCACCCTCTGCCCATAGACTGATGCTGCTGCCCACAAGTGAATTCCCACTGGTGCTCTTGTGCATCCTCTCTCACACCATGGTGTTTCCCCCTCCCATTTCCAGACCCCAAAATTTCCCTTCTGGACCGAAGCTGCTTTCCTTTTCCACTGCTAGTGGGGCCCTTGGATTCTCCCAGTGCTGCTGCTGCTGGGGCTGCTAGCTGTAGAGGCCTTCTATGGCCCGGGAAGAAGCATGGCTGCCTTGAACATCCCTTTGTGGTTTTCAAAGCAAGGTCACCACTTGTCGAGGGGGGACTCTCGAGGTCCCTTTATATAAACATTCCACTCTCCATAGAGCAATAAAACTAAAGTCCTTTAATGTTAATTGTCTAAAAGATTTACAATGCTATAGATAATTCTCTAATAGCGGTCCCTAATAGCAGATGTCAGCCCTATACTGGCTTTTCTTTCTGAGCTCACGTGGGATCATTCTCCCAAGTCACACCTTTCTTCCCTCTTATGCTGTCTACTTTGTAGTTGTTCAAATATGCGTAAAAGACGTCTGTTCTCAGCTTTTGAGAAATCTATGACACCTATTGTGTCTTCTGTTTCTGGCCCAGGGAGATCAGCCTCAGGGAGGAAGGAGACAGTTTGCTCTGCCTCTTTCTGAGTAGAACTTGCAGCTCCCTGTTTCTCATGACTCTCTGTCTCTGATAAATGTCCAGGTGTTTGCTCAACGGGCTGGGGCTCAGGGGAAGACGCAGTAGCTGGTTCAGCCGTCCCTGCACTGGGTTGTGGGGTTGACTCTTGGGCACTAGGTGCCAATTGCAAGGTCTCCTCATGAGTCACTGTTTCTGTCAGAGCTTCATGCACGACACCACTCCACTCGTCTGCATCTCCCTCTCTGAATTTCCCCTTGATGCAGCAAGGGCTCAGGTGTCTCAGTGGCTCACAGTGTTTTCTGACCATCACAGATATGGAACTGGCCAAGAAAAGCAGGATCTGGCTGAACCCACTGGGGCTCTTCACATGTGTTGGAGTATCAATCCCAGAGGTCCGAGCTAATGTGAGTATAGGAATTGAAATCCAACACTGCTGGAGAGCACTAATCTGAAAAACAGGAACCCAGGGAGAGCCTCACCTGCTCAAAGTTTTGCCTGGCAAAACATCTCAAGGAGCTCAGCCGCAATTAGGAAAAGCTGTGAGCCCCACATGCAACAAAACACATCTCTCCCTTTCCCATTCTGTGAAAAGGTCCTACAGCAGAAAAAGGTGCTTTAGTGACCAGCATGTTCTCTGCTCCCTGTCAGAGCAGGGATAAAGTGCCATTTAATTCTACAAGCAAAAATATCCTCCATATCCTCTGGTGTTATCTTGCTACTCCCACACTCCACAGTGCCATCTAGAGGTGACCAAGCAGGAAACCAGGTAGGGACACACTCACTGGCAATGCTCGGATTGGTGTGATGTGATGAGAA